TTTATTAGCTTCAGAATTGCATCAAATGGTTCCCTATTTCATATCAAAAGCCTAGTACGCGTAGTTTGTTAGGAAAATTATTTCGAAATTGTATAACTTCCATAGCTATAAAAAATTTAAAGCAATTTTTTTTTTATTTTATCCCCTACTAGACAAAGGAAAAATGTAACAAATAGCCTATACCCGTTTTATATTTTGTGTAATCGACTTATTTTAATAAATGGTTGCGCGGAAAACCATTCGTATTTATTTATTTTGACGGTAGGCTGCCAAATCGTTTATCCCTTTCCAAAACGATATCATTCATACCCTCCTATCGACACATCGGGGTGGTGGGGTGGGAGGGGAAAGAAGATGATTCTAGAATATCACGTAATCATCGCAACCAAAGGTATAAAGGGCACGCGCGACCGACGCGCTCCTCTTCCCGCCGCGCTCGTTGTTGGAACCACACCGCTAGTAGAACCGCTTTAGCCTGGAAGCAGTCGAGCTCCAGGAAACCCGCCTCACCTCGTATGAGATATAGTCGCGCACCGCCTCTCTCCAGAGAGTCTACCCAGAAGAAGTTCCAGAAGTCGCAGCTATAGTGCCAAACAGCATAGAAGAAACACCCCGGTGAGTGAATATTCCTAATAATATTGCCTGCTTTATATAATTGTGTTTTAACCCGCTCCAATTTTGTTTTCTCCTAATCAAGCAGGATTCCTTTCATCGATTTGGCAAATAATAGTTCGTTTTAGGGAAGAGCGAGTGCATTGTACCGCGCGCTATAGTCGTCGTTATATAAGCGTAGAAGCATTTTGTAGATACAGTCCACTTAGATTAATATCTCGCGTAATAGGTTTAAAGTTCGACCGGGGAATTCGACTTCGGCGACCTTAGGCTCGTCGCTACACCAATAAACATCATTATTTTTTCCTTGTAGGTAGGACACTACCTATTAAAGTAATAGAGCTCTAAATAAAACATATTTTTAAATTCAGTAATACAATTTTTTTCATTAAAATTAAATGAAACGCTTATGAGACATGCATTTTTGGATATTGCGAACTATTTTAGCATTATAATAAAGTGGCACCGGAACATGTTTTGTTACATTCCTTGCCTGCCCTTTCGTATAGCAGTGGACTTGTAAAGGTTGCGATGGATAAAAAAAAAATACGAATATTTACTGGTAAAAATGCTATGATTTTGCGTTATTGTAATTTAACTTTGTGGATAAATTAACTAGCATAAATTTTGTCCGCGTTAAATATTGTCGTAGTAGTCGACAGAGGGATACTGAAACAGAAGCAGAAACAGAAACTCTTTTATTCAATATAGATTGTAAACTATACTTATTGCAAGTCATTCTTTTCATTCACCACTGGTTTGCAAAAAAAAAACTCTGTCCTGAGAATAACCAGAAAGAAACCCAGCGGGACAATTTTTTTTTTGCAAATAATTGCTTACAACCATGTATGTTACAATTTTTTTTTTTTTTTTATTTATTCAACAAAGTAACAGTTTTAATTACAAAATCAATTTCTTCGTGCCATTAAACATCTATTGTTTGTCTTGGCACTGCACAGTTTGCTCTTAATTATACATTAATTTACTTAAGCTTATTATTTGAATGACATTAGAATTAACTTTTACTTAAACTAAATATAAAGTACTATGAAACAATTGTGCTACAAATTATTAAAAAAAAAATTTGGCATAAAAAATTTATATAAAATCTATAATATGTATCTCTTAAACAATTTTTTTTTGTGGAGAAGGTAGTTTTTGATATTGTTTACCAGGAGTAGTGAAGTAAAAACGTGATTGTTGTCTTCAGTTGTTCGCTTATCCGATATACTGCACTATCTTATGCGCGTACACACGGAGTGTATTTTTACGGAATATTTTTTTTTTCATGTATTTTATTTTGTAACACGTTTTGTTTATTTGTCCAATTTAACAATTATTGGCATAGATAGATATAGCTCGTTATGATTCTCATTGGAATAATATATATAGATACTTTTTTGAATTCTTATTATGCGAAAAAAATTTTTAAGTTTTGTTTTCAAGTTTTGTGCGGTTAGCTGGCTTCTTATCTCCGTAGGTAAAGAATTTAATATGTATGGTATTAGAAATTTACGTGTTCTCTTACCGTAGTAATTATTAGTTCTAATTGGTGAATAGGGTGTTTTATTTCTAGTGCTATAAATGCGTTCCCTTGGGGTTGGGTACATCGAGTATTCATAACATTCTTTTAAAATCATATATTTCACCTTTTTTTATGTATGGGTAAAACTTTGCAGTACGTGAAAAGGTATGAGTAATCATTTCGATATTTGTCCTTAATGTGTTGAGGCAATATAGATTTTAAAATTCTTATTTGTAAGCTGTAAATTTTATCTAGGTAAGTGCGGAAAGTTCGTCCATAACTACTAAGACCATACGATACTATCGATTCCACTAGAGCATTATATAGGCTTAGAAGAATTTTAAATGGAACTTTATTACGAATAATATAAAATTTCGCTAGGATTGCCCTTAATTTACTACACACGTAGTCAATATGATTCTTCCAGTTCATCCTATTATCTATAATCAGTCCTAAGTATGTGTGATACTTAACAAGTGGGATTTTTTCGCAGGAACAAGTTATTTTATTGTGCAGACAAAGATGATTATGAGCAATAATGCTTACTGGCATAATATTCTTGTTATGACTAGAATGAATGTGTAGTACCTTAGTTTTTTTGTATATTTATTACAAGTCCTAGATCGTGAGCCCACATAGAGAGGCGTGAAAAATCATCTTGTAATTTTTGCATGGCGATATCCAGATTTTTATCTTCTGACAGAAGGCACGTATCATCTGCATATTGGTATAAACTACATTTTTTAATGATATTTTCTAATTCATTTACGTATGTTAAGTAATGGAGTGGCCCTATAACTGAGCCTTGTGCCGTACCAGTAGTCATAGGCATTTTAATACTTAAATTATTTTCTATCTTTACTTGGAAATATCGATTGCTAACATAATCTTTACACCATCTTAAGAAACGTCCTCTAACGCCAGAGTTTTCGAGTTTTTTTATAAGAATGTTATGTTTCAAGGTATCGAAGGCTTTACTGAAATCGATGAATGCAATTAATACATGTTTTTTCTCATCTAAGCATTTGTTTACTTCGTCTGTAAAGTTTGACAGTAACTGTGTAGTAGATTTCTTAGGCTGAAATCCGTATTGAGATGCCGAAATAATCTTATGTTTTTGGTAAAAGTTGTGAAGCTGGTTGGAAATGAATTTTTCTATAATTTTGTCAATTGTTGGAAGTATAGTAATAGGCCTGTAATTACTGTAATCGTCATGACGTCCACTTTTGTAAATAGGCCGTACCAAACCTAGCTTTAGATCTGTAGGATAAATACCTGTTTCTATACTACTATTAATTAACTTGACAATTACTTTAGCAATTTTTTCTGATATGGCTTTTATGTCAATTGTACGAATTCCATCAGCACCTGGTGCCTTTTTTGTGTTAAGTGTTTTTATTATATTTTTTATTTGCTTTGTGTTAGCTTTTTGAAAGCGTATAGACTTATCTACTGGATTTGTGTACAAATCATCTGATAGCATTTTAATGGTACATTTTGGTATTATATTTTTTAAGTTTCTATCGAACTCAGAAGCAAAATTATCAGCAATCGTTTTACTATTTTGACTTTTAAAGTTAAATGCTTTATTTAACGATTCATCTAGTGTTTCGGTAACTTTGCCACAAAGTTTGTTTACAATTTTCCAAGTATATCTTGGATTAGACATATTGTTATTGATTTTTTGATAATAGTAATTATTTCTAGTTTTTTCAATAAATTTAATTGTTTTATTTCTATATTTATTATATTCTAGTCTTAGAAGTTTATTATTTGAGTCATTTTTCCATTTAGTAAACAAATTATCTCTAATTTTACACATATTTATGATGTCTTCATTTATCCAATTCTCTTTATTTCGTTTACTACCTTGTTTTGTTTTTTTTATTAATTGACATTCACTGTAGCATTTCATAAAATTAGTTTTTATAAAATTGTTTATATTAGTAGGACATTGCATATTATTAACCGGTGACCAGTCTATTTCATTCAGCATTCTATGAAGTTTTTTGTTGTCATATAAAATAATGTTTTCAAATTCATCCCGTGTGTACGAAGCATGTAAAACGCATGTTAGCACGGTCATGCGATGATCGGCTAATACAGTACCAATAGCGCCCGAGTACAGGTCTAACGTACGCGATCGCACAAAGATATGATCTATACAACTTTTAGTTAATTTGTCTTTTCTTTTTTCTATTCTAGTGTAATCTGTTATCGCACACGTTAGACCGCACTCGGCCATTTTACTAAGATAATATTCTTGAATAGGTGTAATATCTTTAATGTTGATATTCATATCACCCAATATGATTAAGTTATGTTTTTTAGCGAAATTATCTTTTAATATGTGACACGACTCCTCAATAAACAAGTGTTTGTTTTCATTCGGTGGTCTATATATTATACAAAGATGGAATGTTTGCAAATTATTTTGGGTGGTGATTTTGCCTATGAGTGATTCAAAGTGTAAAGTTTTGATATTTATAATTTCAAACTTATGGCTCTTACGTACATAAATAATTATCCCACCCCCCTTTCTTTTAGTTCTTAGGATACTATGCATTGTATAGCCATCGATATGAAACATAGATAGTAGGTTATTAGATATGTTGGCTTCTGTTATGGCAATGCAGTCTAAATTAATTTTACTAGAATTTATACATTCCTTTAGCATTGCAAAGTTTTTTATGATAGATCTTAGGTTTATATGAATAAAAGTGAAACTTTGTTTACCTCTAGGTATAAGTTTGTAGAAATCATTTAAATTAATACAGTCGTTTATTTCTGAGACGTTCGTGAGAGAATCCATTATGTTTGTTGTAATTATAACTTATAAGAATAATTATGCTGAGTTTTACCCTTAACTAACTACTTCCGTTTCTTCTGTATTTAGGGACTGAATAGTGATTTTTTTTGCAAGTTTTTGGATGTCTTCGATGCACCTAATGGTTGTGATCTTGTCTTTGTCTCCTTTTCGCGCGAAAATGTGTCCATTTTTAAACCATATGTACTTGTATTCGGAACCTAATTGTTTTTTTGCATTCCACAAGATTATCTTATTTGTCTTTGTGAGTGCGCGTCTTAACATAATTCTATCTTTACCCTCATTATATATCATTGGCGCATTTGGAAGAATATCATTAATTTTTAATATCTTCATTTTTGCGGCTTGGATCCATTTCTCACTCTCTGTTTCATCACTTAGTTCTAGTAGCAGATATCCATCCTTTCCTTTTCTTCCTTCTATCTGTTTTATGCTTTTAACTGAACTCGCATCCATATCTAATTTGGATGCTAATATTTTAGTTACTTGATGATGATTAATGTTATCTATACCCGATATACCAGTTAGTTCAATTTTGTTACTGTATTGTTTTTGTTCCAATTCTCCTATTTTTTGTTCTAAAACATTTATTCTTATTTCCAAATTATTATTTTTGTTGTTTAATGCTATATTTTTAGTTTCTAATTCTATAATTCTACGTTTTAGAACATCCACATTGTCGAGCACCTCATCTAGTTTGTCGTGACAGTAACTTATAGAAGATTCGATTGGCTCCAATTCGCGTTTTATAGTGACTCCAACTTCCTTTGAAATATCCTTCAGTAACTTTTTAATATCTATTGATGGCTTAGAATACGAATGATCTTGAGTTTGTTCATTTTGTTCTACTTTTTCTTCTTCTTCAGGGATAATATACGATTTTCTTACCGGTGTGAAACGTTGACAATCCTTGCATGTCCATTCCAGGCTATCCGCGTTGCGTAATGCTGCAATCTGTTTAGTCGAAAGATTAGTACAGGCCTGGGTCGCGTGCACAAATTTTTCGCATTTGCTGCATTCTAATCCAGGTGTTCTTTTAGCTATCGGTTTTTCACATCGATCACATTTATTCATTGTAATGTCGGTATAAGGGTTTTTTTGTTCTATCCACACGTCCGATCGATTACACTCTATCGAGCAAACTTATGAATTAACAACTCAAAACAAATTAGAAATAGCTTGGTAACAATCACCCTTCCCAGGGGTTATTATCATCCTTAAATTCCTTTATTTTATAACAAACCTTTTCAAATAAACTTAGTTTAACAAAGTTTTTGAAATATTTGTATGTCCTATTTTGTATATTTTGTGCGATTTTGTTGTAAAAGCGTACATATCGCCGCAGGAATTAATTACTAACTCGGTGGATTCGAGTAACTGGTACTACTAGCTTGTGTCTGTTCCTACTATTTACAAAATGAATATCGCAAATTTTTGCAAAACTACTTTTATTTTTGTGTACGTACATTTTCATAAATGTATTGAGAGGCCAGAGTTAATATATTAATTTCCTTAAATTTTTGTCTAAGCGATTCTTTTGGTTTTAAATCATATATTGCTCTAATGACCCTTTCTGTAAAACAAATATTATTTCAGTGTTAGTCACGTGTCCCTATTGCATAATACCATACGACATTATGCTATAGAAATAGCTAAAGTAAACTATTTTAGCTATTTCAATACTGGTAAGAGTTCTAATATTTTTACAGCTTAAGCTGCAGAACTAAGTCTACTAGCTAGTTTTGATATATGAGGGAGCCATTAAAGCTTTGCGTCCAGTGTGATTCCAAGAAAAATGGTGATATCAACAATACTCAGCTCCTCCCCATTTAAAACTACATTAGTATTAACATGTTTGAGATACGGAGTTACGAATTTCATACATTTAGTTTTGTTCCATTTAAGTGCAAATTATTAACATTACACCAATTGACTAACTTAGCTATAACATTATTTACTTTGTCGTAAATTGATAACTGTCATTTTAGTTTGAAAGTTAATGAAGTATTATCAGCAAATAATACTCTATCATAGTTATCCCCTACTATGTAAGGTAAGTTAATAATATATAAAAGAAACAGAAAGGGTACACGCGTTTGTACAATCGACCCTAAAGAACTCATACTATTAATGACAACTTTTTGCGTCACGATATTTATATATTAAATAATTAATTTAAGATGGGTAGCATCATTTTAATAATATAAAATCAGCGGTCGCAAACTCGCTCACTAATTATTAATTAATTAATGGCGTTGGTAAAGGGTTCGTAATTGAGGCAAATATCCTTTTTATGAGGCTATCTATAGGAGAAGGCTTTTGTTTGACAATGGACTTTTGATAGGTGTTGAATGATTTTAGGAGAGGAGAGGTTTCATTTCTGAGGACTAAGATGAAACATCTCGCGTTGTCGTGTTGGGTGGACTAAACATCAGGAGTGGTCCCACAAAAATTTGAAAAAATGAGGGTGGTATTTAAAAAAGGTTTCTGAAAATGGTAAAATAAGGGATGAATTTTTAAATGTAAATGTGTTATGTAATGTGATAGCGCGATTTAGGCATCAAAGCCTATTAAAGTTCCGAATCAAAAACAGTGTATGTATATAGATTAGCTCTGAACTATCAAACGGAGTGTTTGCCGCTCCCCAGGCAGAACACCTTTCCCGACGGGAGATCTCCCCCCCCTTTCCCTTCCGCCGCCAAATCCTTATGGTTATTTAAAAATATTTGTATTGTATTAAAGCTTATACATTGTTGTATCTCTGTTTTAATATGTTAAGTAGGTATTCCATAAACAAGTAACATATTTTTTTTGTTTCAGGTGAGTACATAAAAGTAAAAAGTACTTTTCAAAGAAATTTCAATCGAATTTTCTAAATACGTTGTATGCACTAGTATTAACTTCTTTTTCTTAAATACTTACTTTATTATTTAATTTTTTTAATTATTTATTTCATACATGGTACCTACAATAAGTTGTTGTATTACAAATTTTAGGATCATTTACATATCTAAGGGATAACATAATAGTAATAGAAGTATAACATAATAGTAAAGCTTCAATTATTCAGAATAGTTATTACTATTCTGAATAATTGAAAATAATAATCATCATCAATGTTTTACTAATTTCAAATATATGCAATTGCAATATATATTACACACTTGAAATTAGTAAAACATTGACATGTTTGATATTACAAACGTTTTTTATTAAACGTTTTTTACAACATTTAAAATTTGTATTTACACATACAGTTTATTTAATTTTATTTGGATTAAGATACAGTGAACATAGTGGGCAATAATAATAAGAAAATAATAAACTCGGTAAAAAAAACTTGATTGATAGCGATGACAAATTAACAAGAAATAAATTGTTGCATGTTACATAACATTACAATTTTTACATAGACCATAAAAGTACGAAAACGCTGACGCCGGCGGCCATAATTAAAAGTCGCCGGTGGTGAGTCGCGTCTTAAAGTTGTCTCGTTAAAACTTCTCACCTAAAAGGACATTCTTCACACGTTGCGACGGGACCCTGTCCAAATTTGTCTTTGTAGCGTCCCCTTATTTGGAGTGAAACGCTCCGCCTTAGAGGCATTAAAACAGAATTTTAGAGACATTAATTACTGGACTTCTCGTTGTCTCGACATCGGCTGCCCCATCGGTCTATTGGCCGTAAACGCAGCTGCTGATCATGAGGTCCCGGATTCGATTCCCATGTCGTGTCACAATATCGGTTATAGAGTTTTTCTATCGGAAAGTCGTAGCTCGGAAAGCATACAAAGCTGTCGATTCTGTGATATCTCTGCGATCGTCTCGGGTTACCATTCCATGGGACTATAAAGTGAGAGAATAAGAAAAGCACCAGTGCTTGCGCGTACATTCGGGTACTATTATCCTGTTCTGCGCAGATGGCTGATCTCATTTGAGACTAGCCACAGTGAATGAAATTCGGTCTATAATATTTCGGTATAGAATATTTTTACTCGTCTTTTTTACTAGTCTTTTATTTTGTAAATATAACAAACATTAAGTTAACGTTAAAATTACTCTAGATCTTTGTCATCATCGTTACATCCTATTAAAAGTCCGCTGCTGAACAAAGGCCTCCTCCTGAGATTGCCTCGTACGAGTTATATTCACAGAGTAAGGAATATGGACTTTACTCATATCCTATATTTGCCATAGTTATCATGTTTGTCAGGCGGGTTGTTGACTGCAGTTTTGCCTAGCTCCAGCTTCATTTCACTTCACCCCCTCTTATGACAGCCACGGGAAGATACGATTCTCTTACGCCGCCACTTCACGGCGGTTTTATCTGTCTAAACTTAGCCTTACACTATTTTGTGTGTATGAGCGGTGGTTCATAGTTTTAAAAGCCAATAGTAAAAAATATACAACTGCAAATTACCATTTGCAATACGTTTTTAGTCCTGAGCTATATTTAAAGTTTCAAATCTCTAAATCACACGGGAAGTTAGTTTAAAAACAATTGCTAAATTTGTGCCGAATATATTCAGACAATAAAGTAAGTTTATATTGATTGTTATCCAACTCTAATCTAAATATAGCATATATATAATAAGTTTAAGACTTTAAAGTATAAGCTTATCAGGAAGTTAATTTGAATTCGTACCGAACAGACAAGATAGCAAGTTGATTAAAACTACTTTTACGGATTTTATTTTTATAAGATAGCAAGTTAATAAAAACGTGGCCAAAATAAGTTATGGAATCAGGCGATACTTTGCGGAAATCCATTAGTAGGTAGGTAGGTAGTAGGTACGTTATGGGGTAGTGGATATTCTTACACCGCCACTACACGGTTTCATAATAATATTACAAATTCCATAATAAGATAGTAAATAAATATATTACATGAATATATCCGATACTGCTTCCAAAGCAAACCTACCTTATTAAGTAAATATTGTTTGTTTGAGCTACCTTGCGGGTACCTCTTGCTTCACTTTGTAGTGCGGAGGCTTTTTGTATTTTGGTAACCAAGGTTTTTTTGTACATTCTAGAGCTATTAAACATTTTCGCGAAATTTGCGTAGAGTAGCTGCAAAAAATCAGAGATACACTTACTATTTCAGGACAGGTTGAAAGGTAGGACTCAAGTATTTGTTATTCTAACGTTTTAATGTAAGGGTGCGTGGCGGAATAGAAATTTTATGGACGTTACAACCATGAGTCGTTGTAGTTTAGAGATAAAACGCTCTCCATAAATTTCACAGTACGCGAGAAACTCAGGTTCAATAGCCAGACCATAAAGAAATTTTTCATTGTGAATGGTTTGCTACCACATTTTTGGTGATGTAAGTATAGTTGTTATTAGATTGTTAAGAAAATATCGACAGGAAACCCGCATATGTGAGGGCGGAAAAAAACACAACATGACATTCGAAAGCGTGTTAATAAACAGTGTTTAGATCGTTTTCAAAACAGCAGTTACCATAGTGTCTAATCACTTTTGTGTATTGTTAGGAATCCCGAACTAAACCGTAGATATATTTTCAGAAACGACACTCGTAGCTTTGGCGCTACGCTCTCTGTAAGCTAGGGCTATTTTTACTGCCACTAACGTAGCAGTGAATCCAACAGGATATTGAAAATCCGCCTCAATTGAAAAAGTGATCTAATTTTCAAACCAAACTCTGTAGGAATCCGAAGGAATCGCCCCACTGTATACACAATGGATCCTTTACTAAGCATGTAATTTGCTTCACTCATCGTGTCTGTTTGATCTCGCTAATTTTGGCACAATATTTCCAAGTATTTTTAATTATATTTGAAATTAAGGTAATCATAAAGCACCCTGCGTTTAATTTGATTTACATTTCATATTAGTTATATATATTTTAAGCAAACGTTTTAGAATTAGAATTAGATATTCTGGAGAACCTTTATCTCAGAATACGTTGCGTCCCGTGGGCTTCAAAAGCTCTGATTAGACACAGGTCTCGCAATTATGTAACTTGCCGTCTGCAATTACGCTCGCTCACTGCCTTCAAGTGTTGTAGCTCGACCACTGGCCATTTTATTAGGTAAACGTACTTTGTTT